CACACACACACACACACACACACACACACACACACACACACACACACCTAAAAAAGGAGCATGCTTGGGGCACCTGGGTGGCTCAGTTGATTAAGCATATGCCTTTAGCTCAGGTCATGATCTCAGAGTCCTGGGATCGAACCCCACATTGGGCTCCCTGCTCAGCGGGGAGTCTGCTTCTCCCTCTCCCTCTGCCTGCCTCTCTGCCTACTTGTACTCTCTATCTCTCTGTCAAATAAATAAAATCTTAGATAGATAGATAGATAGATAGATAGATAGATAGGCAGGCAGGCAGGCAGGCAAGCATGGGCCCACCTGCATGGCTCATTGAGCATATGCCTGACTCTTGATTTCAGCTCAGGTCATGATCTCAGGGGCATGGGATCCACTCAGCAGGGAGTCTGCTTTTCCCTCCCTCTGTTCCTCCTCCTACTGTCTCGCTCACTCACTCTCTCTCTCTCAAATAAATAAAATCTTAAAAAAAATAAAAAGGGAAGGGCGCCTGGGTGGTTCAGTCAGTTAAGCATCTGCCTTCAGCTCAGGTCCTGATCTCGGGGTTCTGGGACTGAGCCCCACATCAGGCTCCCTGCTCTGTCGGGAGCCTGCTTCTCCCTCTGCCTCTCCCTTTGCCTGCCGCTTCCCCTATTTGTGCTCGCTCTCTTTCTCTCTGTCAAATAAATAAATAAAACCTGCGGTATCAGGGTGGCTTGGGTCATGATCTGCAGGTCCTGGGATTGAGCCCTGTGTCTGGCTCCCAGCTCAGCGGGGAGTCTGCTTCTCACTCGCCCTCTGCCCCGCCCCCTGCAACTTGTGCTCAGTCTCTTTCTCTCAAATAAATAAAATCTTAAAAAAAAAAAAAAAGAGCATGCTTCCCCTGCTATCACTTCATCAAAATTGTCCCTTGCCCTAGCTAAAGAATCAGCGCAGTGCCTGGCACACACAGTAGGTACTCAACATTATGAAGAGCCCTACAAATACCTACTCCCACGGCCTGGTTGATGGTCTTTAATGGTGCTTTATTCACTTGGTCAAGGAAGAATTTTCATGGATCAAATCCATACCCTGACCCTCCCGCTCCCCAGCCACGTGTTTGTCAGTTCTCTGGAGCATGTGCATCACCCAGCAGGAAAGCACCTAGAGTGGCAAGGACACCAGGAGGGCTTGGCAGCAAGTCTCAGCTCCATTTGTGATCTGAGTCCTGGGGCTCTAAGCCTCAGTGTCTCCACCTCAGAACACAGGTCACTTAGGAAGCTGGAGACCTGACCAGCGCCACTACCACCCCACACACAGTCAGTTTGACTCCTGGTCTCCTCGTGAGTGTGAGTGAACTCCTGAGCTTTCCCCTAAGAGCTCTACATACTTGGGCAAGTTGCTGAACTTGTTGGGCTTCCGTTTCCTTGTCTGTAACCAAGGACAGCAGCTCTGAAATCTCACTAGCTGTTAAAAAGATCAGTGTGCATGGTGGGAAGGGCCCAGAGCTGCCACATACACACTTTCAAAAAAATGCCAGCTGGCTCCTCCACAGCGAGCACCCCAGCTTTACATTCTTGTGTCATCTAAGCAACACGGCGGCCCCATGAGGATGAGTAGTACCGCCCCCACGCCGAAGAGGGAGAGTCGAAACTCAGATGCTCTACCCATACTTTCACAAAACCAAGCAGCAGAGCTAGGAATCACTCGCACTGGCCTCCCCCCTATGAGAGCGAGATCCCCCCACAGCCGTGGGCACTTCAAACCCCCTGTGGCAGCCCGCTCACTAAACCGATCTTTTAAAAGATTCACTGTTGTAGGGGCGCCTGGGAGGCTCAGCCGGTGAAGCATCCGCCTTCGGCTCAGGTCATGATCTCAGGGTCCTGGGATGGAGCCCTGCGTCGGGCTCCCCGCTCTGCGGGAAGCCAGCTGCTCCCTCTGCCTCTGCTGCTGCTCTGCCTACTTGTGCTCTCTTTCGCCCTCTCTCTTACTCTGTCAAATAAATATTTTAAAAATAAAATTTAAAAATAAAAAATTCACTGTTGTAATTATATTAGCAAAAGCTAAACAGCTCCTGAGCACTTAAAAACACTTTTTTTTTAAACCCTTAAAAAAATCTTCATTATTTTAAAGATTTCAAGGAAACTGGCCATTTCCCCTCTTATCTGTGGAAACTGTCAATAAAATTCCTCAACAGTAATTTTAAACTAAATATTCCAACTTTGGTGATGATTAAATATTCCAACCCAAACTGGTTTCAGGTTCCCTTTGCCTACCCCTGCAAGTGAGCCCGGAGCTTCAAGTAAATACCAATGGGCACCAGGCACCTTCCAGATTCTGTTCATACAGACTACATATAGACTGTCAGGCCCTGGCACCCTCCCTACCTCCTTCTGCCAAGGCCAAAGCTCCCTGGCTCTTTTCTATGGCTAATACTCATTTAAGTAGTGGGCCATCCTGAATGCCACTTTAAGACACAGGGACATTGGGGCGCCTGGGTGGCTCAGTTGTTAAGCATCTGCCTTCGGCTCAGGTCACGATCCCAGGGTCCTGGGATCGAGCCCCGCATCAGGTTCCCTGCTCAGCGGGAAGCCTGCTTCTCCCTCTCCCGCTCCCCCTGCTTGTGTTCCCTCTCTCACTGTCTCTCTCTGTCAAATAAATAAATAAAATCTTAAAAAAAAAAAAAAAAAAGACACAGGGACATAAACCACTACATTCCTTCATTATAAGTTAGAGGTTTCCACCCAGTGTTAGATGAGTGAACACTTGCTCAGATGTGCTCAAGTGCTGGGCTCTGCACTAGGAACCAAGAATGTGAAAGTGTAAGACACAGCCCCAGCCATCAAGGAGGCAGACCATCTGCTGGACCACCTGGTAGAGGAGACAAGTGGACAGGGAACCATGTGGAAGGACAGGAGCACTTGCACAACACAGCTCTGCTTCCCACTCCTCAGATGGTATAAATTGAAGAAGCCCCATGCTAGATCCCAACACACCTCCATGATTAGGCTAAAGAATGTCTCCGGAGAGAAGATCCATGAAAACAGCACAGCCTAAAGGTCAAGGGCTCTGGAACTGGCCAGACGGGGGTTTAGAAACTGGTCTTACCTCTCTTTAGCCATTTTAATCTTGAACACTTAGTTAATCTCTCCAGGCCTCACAACTGGCTTAACGGGCTGCCGTGAGGCTTGGGGGAGGCAATGCCAGGGTTTCCTGAAGTTGGGCCCCAGGCACAGCCCGGGGCCCAGGGTTGGCCGAGTGCAGACAGGGAGAGTTGGAAAGCAGACGCACGGCGGCCCCTCGTCCCCTCCACCCCGCCCCGCGTGCGGAGGCCCCCCGCGTGGCTCTTAGCTCACGGTAACTAGCTGCTGCACTCAACCCTACCCTGGCCACAGCTCCTCACAGATACCTTTTTATCTGAGGGACTTGAGATCTTGGACACCAGTGCTGCTTCAACAAGACCCTGCTCCAGTAAGGAGTCATATTTTATGCTTCTCTTCCTGCTCCTTCTTGCCTTATTTTCTGGTTTTTGTCCATTTTCTTCTGACTGGGACACAGCAGCAGCACTGTCACCACAAATTGAAGATTCAAAGAGAGGTTTCCCATTCATGTATGTTTTGGTGATCTTCAGCTTAATTTCCGGAGAGCCATTTTTGATAGGGGTGGTGTTAGGCGGTGTCCCAAGTCCTTTCCCTTCCTGGGACTCAAAACGTAATTTGGCATCATGAGCACCAGGTTCTCCATTAAATACACGGGAAGTTAGGTCTTTCAGCTTCTCAGATGGAATAAAGGGAAGGGCATCATGGCCATTAAATTTCTGCATGACCCCCTCCTGCAGACTGGTAGAGAGGTGGGCTTTGCTGAGGAATACAGAACATTCACGATTCACTTCACAGTTCTGAGTCTTTCCATTTGTATTGCCAAGGATTTCCGGTGCCTGCTTCATTTTTTTGTACTTTACAACTTTCTGAACAGAAAGAGGACTTTTTTGATGCTAAATTCCATTCAGCCCAGATGCTTCCGTTCTTAGAACACTACAGTATTAGAAAAACAAAAATAAAAAGAAACATTATGCTTAAAACCTAACATAAGTATGCCAACACCTCTACACCTTTGTGTGGTTATTTGTTTTGAGGCATTTATGATACTTCCATCATAAACAGGAGGGAGTTCCAATGCCATAAAAATGAGACAGAATGACAAAATGATAAAGTTGAAAGGAAAGGAAAGGGACAATTTTTAAGGGGGGGAGGGGACACAAAAGTCAGGCACGGAAACACGAATCGTGCCACCACCACTAACCAGCAACGTGGCTGTGGACAGTTGCTTCAATCGGCTCAATCACTGTTAAATGGGGAGTTCACCATTAGTACATGTGCCTGAGGCAGCTCATACAAAGACAGGCCTTTGGGGGCGCCTGGGTGGCTCAGACGGTTAAGCGTCTGCCTTCCTTTCAGGTCATGATCCCGGGGTCCTGGGGTCAAGCCCTGCTTCAGGCTCCCTGCTCAGGTGCCTGCTTCTCCCTCTCCCCTGGGTTGTGCTCTCTCTCTCCCTCTCTCTCTCTCTCTCCCTCTCTCTCTCTCTCTCCCTCTCTCGCTCACTCACTCTCTCAAATAAATGAAATCTTTAAAAACAAAACAAAACAAAACAAAACACAAAGACAGGCCTTTGAAAAAGGACAAGAGGGAAGAGCTCAAAACCAAAGTTCCCCTGGTTGCAGCTGAGGAGGACTCCCAGGCAGAGGTTCATCAACATGCCCAAAGTTACTAATCAGCACTGTTGAAAACCAGATCTCCCAAAGCCTAGCACACCATTAGTTCCAGGTTAATGGTGGGGGGAGTTACAAGTGAGAAAACAACCCGAATCAGTGCTGGTTCATGCTCAGGCTAACCTCCGTCATCCACCCCCTCCCTGCCCCAGCCCAAATTAAATGCTTAAGACAAGAAGCACTGTAGTAATGGCAAATTTTATTTAGCTATCTCCTGAAGATTAACTAGCAAGGTCAACACTGCTGAGCCTTAACATGTACTACTTGCAATGTGCCCTGCTGGTCACTTGAGGCCCAAGGGCGAGGGGGGGGGCAGTTTTAGGAAGACCTCAGGCTACAGGGGACGATCAGGGGCTTTACTGCATATAGCTGTAGTCCCCTGGGGATACCCAGTGAAGGCACAAAAACCCAAAGGTCAGCTAGGAACAAGGAACAGGCAGACACCCATTCCATTCCAGCTGGGAAGACATTCACCCAGACTGCACTATGATGGCCACCAAGGAGACCCCTCCAAGAAGGCAGCCCCAGCAGCCATCGGACACCAGCGAGAAGCTGACAGTACAGAGAGGCCCACACGTGTACAGCAGCAGTTCTCAGCTGAGGAAGATTTTGCTCCCCAGGGACACAGCACTGTCTGGAAACATTTTTTGATTGTCACCACTGGGGAGCTGCTACTGACATCTACTGGGGCGGGTCAAGAAGCCTGTTCAGTACCATCCTACACACAGGACAGCCCCCACAACAAAGAATTATCTGGCTGAAAATGCCCATAGTGCTGAGGTGGAGAAATCTCAAGTGCAGCAATGAGGGACTGACTGTGGTATCTGCCGTTTCCACATGGACCTCATTGGAGAGACAGGAAAAAAGAGCAAACTCAACAGCCTAAGTTCCAGTTTAGCTTCACGTGCACTAAACGGCCTTCTAGCACCAGAATATGTAGAAGAGCACGTGGTTTCACTCACACAATATTTTTTTTTAAGGTAAATTATTCCAGGGGCGCCTGGGTGGCTCAGTCGTTAAGTGTCTGCCTTCAGCTCAGGGGATGATCCCAGGGTCCTGGGATCGAGCCCCGCATCGGGCTCCCTGCTCCGCGGGAAGCCTGCTTCTCCCTCTCCCACTCCCCCTGCTTGTGTCCCCTCTCTCGCTGTGTCTCTGTCAAATAAAATAAAATAAAATAAAAAAATAAAATAAAACAAAGGTAAATTATTCCAGCTCATGTCAGATTAACTGGGCAAAAATATAAAAAACTACTTGAAGACAGAGAGAGAGACCAAAAGGAGGAAGAAAATAAACGGAAGTCAGCTCCTTGAAGAAAGGAGCAGTACTGGGAGAACATCCTAGCTTTCAGTTTTGTGCTTAAGGAGAGTTTGAGGCAATGGGAATAGCTGTACAAGAAGTAAAACTTCTAGGGGCGCCTGGGCGGCTCAGCCGGCTCCAGTCATGATCCCAGGGCTCTGGGATGGAGCCCCACGTCAGGCTCCTTACTCAGCGGGGAGCCCGTTTCTCACTCCTTCTATTCCCCGCTCATGCTCTCTCTCTCTCACTTTCTATCTCAAGTAAACAAATAAAATCTTTAACAGTAAAAAAAAAGAAGTAAAACTTTCAACAGAAGAGAGCCATGGAAGAGGAGCCCCAAATTCTGCATATAAACCATGCCCAAATTCCAGGCTGACACAAATATATAGGGCAGACAGAGTCCAAGTAGCCCAGTTTATAAAATAACTGAAACAAGACTCCAGCTGCTGGACAAAAAAACAAACCAAAACACCTAAGATCAAAACCACAATGAGATCCTACCTCACATCCAGCAGAATGGCTACTCTCAAAAAAAAACATGAAATAACAAGTGTTGGTGAGGATGTGGAGAAATCGGAACCCTGTGCAGTGTTGGTGGGAGTGCAAAACGGTGCGGCCACTGTGGAAAACAGTATGAAAGTCCCTCACAAAATTAAAAAAAGAACGACCATATGACCCAGCAATTCCACATCTGGGTATGTACCTAACAGAACTGAAAGCAGGGTCTCAAGGAGATGTTTGTACCCCCATGTTCACTGTAGCATTATTCACAGCGGCTGAGACAGGGAAGCACCCAAGTGTCAATCAACCAATGAATGGAGAAGCAAAACGTGATCCATCACAGGATGGAATGTCATTCAGCCTTAAACAGGAAGGAGACTCTGCCACCTGCCACCACATGGATGAACCTGGAGGACACTGTGCTCAGTGGAAGAAGCCGGTCAGCAAAGGTCAAATACTGTAGGATCCCACTTCCATGAGGTCCCTAGAGGAGTCAGAAAGTAGATGGTGGAAACCAGGGGCCGCGGTGGGAGGGTGGGGAGGAATAGGCAGTTAGTGTTTAATAGGAATAAGAGTTTCAGATTCACAAGACAAGGAGTTCTGGGGGTAGATGGTGGGGATGGCTGCCTAACAAAGTGAATGTACTTAACACCACTGAACCACACACTTAAAAATACTTAAGATAAATTTTATATTATGTGTAGTTTAACAGAATTTAAAAAAAAAAAAAAAGACCACCCTTAAGGGGAACATAACAGATTCCAGAGTGTCTACAGCATATCATTACAATATCCAGGATTCAACCAAACTTACTAAACATATGAACAGGGAAGCAAACCACATAAAGCAACCCTGAGATGGCCCAAATATTAAAATTCAGCAGATAAGAATTTTAAAGCATCTATTTTAACCATGCTCAAGAACATAAAGAAAAATATGCTCATAATAAAATAAATTGGAAATAGTAACAAAGAAATCAAAACTATAAAAAAAAAAAGAGCCAAATGGAAATTCTATAACTGAAAAATACTCTACCTGAAATCAGAAAGTCTTTGGATGGGCATGATAACATATTAGACATAAGTCAGGAAACTTGAAAATAGATTGGTAAAAATTATCTTGTCTAAAAAACAGAAAAAATCATGAAAGAAAGAAAGCCAGCCAGCCTCAGCAATCTATAGAACAATATCAAAAGGTCTGGATTCCCACTCCCACCCAAAAGGAGACAAGGGAAAGAATGGGGAAAAAAGGAGCTAGAAATATTTCCCAAATTTGGTGAGACATAAATTTACAGATCCAAGAAATGCAGCATGCTGAATATAAAAGAACCCACACCCAAGTGCACCTCAGTCAAAATGCTGAAAAAGAAAGGTAAAAAGAAAACCTTAAAAGCAGTCAAAAGAAAAAAAGACCTATTACATATAAAAACAATGATATGGATGATCACCCCTCATAAAAAACAGAGGCCACAAGACAATGACATGACATGTTTTGAGTAACGGAAGGGAAAAAAAACCTGTCCATGTCGAACTTAAAACCCAGAAAAAATATCCTTCAAGAATGAAGGCAAAATGGCACATGGGCGGCTCAGTCAGTTGGACATCTCCCTTCGGCTCGGGTCATGATCCCGGGGTCCTGGGATCGAGTCCTGCACTGGGCTCCCTGCTCTGCGGGGAGTCTGCTTCTCCCTCTTTCTTTGCCTCTCCCCCCACCGGCTCATGCTCTCTCTCACTTTCT